CCTCTATTTAAAGACTTTCCGTCCGGGGGCAGGAGGAGACGGGGGAGTTTCTGGGGGAGGGGTTCGGGCCTGGGCTGGAGTCTGGGAGTCGGCCGGGCCTGGGTTTGGGGCCTGGCGGGAAGTTGGGGGGCTGGCGGGGGTTGTGGGCCCCAGGGTGGGTTTGGGGAGTTGTAGGGCCGGGGGTGGGTTCAGGGGACTGGGGGTTTATTTGGGGGGCTGGCAGGGAGTTCTTGGGCCCTGGGGTGGGTTTGGGGGGCTAGAGGGGGTTGGGGTGTTGTGGGACTGGGGGGTGGGTTCAGCAGGGTGGGGGATAGGGGCTTTGGGGCCTGGTGGGGGGTTGTGGGCCCATGACTGGATTTGGGGCCTGGCAGGGATGGGGGGTGTCCCATTGAGAACTATTACACAATTCGTCATCATCTCCATGGCGCTGTTGCCATAGTGCCTGCAAGATAGTAATGAGTACTGCCAGGTGATGTCCTCTGGTCATGTTGCTGGCTGGGCCCAATTTATAAAAGCAGAGCCAGGCCTCGTGTGGACATAGTAGAGGTCTGAGAGCAGGGGTTGTATTCTACCACCCAGTCTCCCTCCCTGGCATTGTCAACTGGCCTTTCACAGCGGCTGGCACTGGTGGGTGCACGGCTCCCTGAGGGTAGTGGTTACTCTACAGCCTGGGGTAATGGTTACTCTACAGCCCAGCCATGGCATATACCAGTACCTGATGTATATGTTCAGGGAGGCTCCAGAAGATCTAGCTTTGCATGGTAGATCCAGTGTTACCAGCTCTTATGATTTAATTGCAACTCACCAATATTTGATTTGTTTCCTAAAGGGCCCGCTTCTGCAGTCACATGATTACATGAAAATCTCAGCTGTATTTATTTATTTTTTTGCAGTAAGTTTATAGTGATCAGGGTTATAGAGGAAAAAGTGGGAGATGTGACCTGAGTGAACCTAAAAGACTCAGAAACCTGAAAACAAATAAAAAGAACCCAATATTTATATTTATTATTAAAATCTCATGAATTTTGAGCCAATCTCATGATGGGTTGGGACATGACTCATGATTTTTGAATGCTTGGGATTGGCAATTCTGCAAGATGCTGCCATCTTCTTTGGCTGTATGCGATCTGTGGGGAAACCCCATGTTGGTGCTCAGTGCAATGTAGCAAAAAGTCCCTCCAGTCACATCTGCATGACATCCATGAAAACCTCTGTCTCTCTTTAAGGTTTCAGAGTAGCAGCCGTGTTAGTCTGTATCCGCAAAAAGAAGAACAGGAGTACTTGTGGCACCTTAGAGACTAACAAATTTATTAGATGGTGAATGCCTATCTAATGATCTAAAATGAGAGGGATGGTGCATGCATCTTCATGCCGTGTGCTCTGAAAGTTCATATTGACACGGTTTTGGCTTCTGGTGTCAAAGCAAGTTTTCCTGAGGGCTCAGAATCCGATAAGAATTTCAGGACTGCCAACACTGGCAATTTTATAGTGAATTTAAGAGATTATTAGCTGCTTTCCCGTGATGCTCCCAGTCATACCTGGAATAGCCTGCAGCTCGGGAATTTGGGCTTAGCTTTCTGTCATACATTCTGTAGCCAGCAGAGGCTGCTGGTCTGATCCCAGAGCAGGGTGGCAGCTAGGGAAGCTCACAATTAGTTGTCTCCACCTCCCCCATCAAGAGGCACCGTATGGGGATGGAGTTGGTGTGAAGGCAGTGAGGGACAGCTACTGGACCACTATCCTTTTCCTGCAGGAGGCCTCATAGGGAATGCGGTAAAAGTGCTGCCTGTGAGGGAACTCACAGCAGTGGTTTGCAGACATTGCCAGCAGTGGGTGCTAAAAGGGAGGGTATAAGAGTAGTGACTGTAGTGAAAGCTCTTAGCTCCTCAAGTATTAGCCTCTTCCAGCAGGAGTCAATGCACAAGGTCCAGGGCTGAGCTCAGCCAGGATTCCTCACAGTTCCCAGCTGTGAGCCAGGTGATGAATTTCAGGATCAAAAGAGCCAGTGACCTGTTGTGTCAAGATGGCTCAGGCTGGGTTTGGAAAATGTATGTGAGTGAAAAGAGGTGAAATGTTTTATATGCACAAGCAATGTATATCTGTAATACCTACATTCTTTTATAGCAGAGTAGCTGTTGTTGGCCAATAGTCTCTGCCATATGCTAGCATTACACTGACTACAGAAGATGCGTTGGAAATCATTTTGGTTTTGCTTGAGTTCTTTTTATTGCTCTGATCAATAAACTGAACCATTATGGTTTCCATATTTAATAAAGGACTGACACCCAAGCTCTAGCAGTTACTCAAATTCAGATCCTTATTCAAGACCCAAAAGCCAGCCAATGCCTCAGCCTTGATGGTTAATAAATCAGAGAAAACTATGTTTATTCATTTAAAATAATTCATGTGACTTAGAACCACCATGATGTTCCAGTCCCTAATATGTACAGCTGCATGATCTGATGCTGTCGCACTCAACCCTACTCTTTCCCAAATTCTGGGTGCATTAGAGAGAGGAGTGGAGAGGGTTGATATCCAAATTCTGAGTGGGGAGTAGGGTCTGGGTTCTGTGCAAGCCATGAGGTGGGAGGTAATTTGGATCTGGGTTCTGCATGTACGTTTCAGGGGAGGATCTGCAAGCCAGTTGGGAGGAATCAAAATCCAAGTTCTGGGTGCAGGCCGAAGGGGATCTGGGATATGAATTCTCGGTGCAGATCAGGAGGAAATTTAGGGTGTGCATTCTGTGTGCAGGTCAGGGGAGGGAAAGGGATCACTATCTGAGCTCTGGTTGATGAGGTGGGGGGAAAATCAGTATCCAAGTTCCAGTTGCAGTGTGTTCTCATCTCCTTCTATCCTGGGAAGCACTGCAGGGCCCATTTGGCTGCCTAGGCCACCCTGAGGCCAGCTGAAAACAAAGGTGAATGAGCTTAGCAGCAAGGGCCAGAAGATCAAAAATCAGACAGGCATTCCTTCCTCCTCTTTGCGTGGCCCAGCCCAGTCCCTTGAAGGAGTAGGCGGCAAGGAAGCCCTGACTTCCACTGATTAGGCAGGAGATTTAGGTGCACAGGACATACATTCTCAAACATGGGAGCACGGCCGGCTCCAGGGTTTTGGCCGCCCCAAGCAGCCAAACCAAAAAAAAAAGCCACGATCGCGATCTGCGGCGGCAATTCGGCAGGAGGTCCTTCGCTCGGAGCAGGAGTGAGGGACCGTCCGCTGAATTGCTGCCGAACAGCTGGACGTGCCGCCCCTCTCCGGAGCGGCTGCCCCAAGCACCTGCTTGGTAAGCTGGTGCCTGGAGCCGGCCCTGCATGGGAGAAGTCCTGCTGAAATCAGCTGGGTTCTGCATAAGCACGGTGGGGATCCAAGTGCAGAATTGGAGCCTTTGTCAGATTCTCCTTTTATTTGCGTGGGGTTTTCACAAAGCAGCTGGGGAGAGAAAAACGTGAAGCGAATGGGGGGAGGACAATATATGTCGAAGCCACGCACATTGGGAGGGATGAGACTAGAAACTACTTTTACTCACATTTTTAAAAAATGGACTGTTTTGCTTTAATCTTTGTAAACCCCCTGGAAGATGAAAGACATGATAAAAGTATGTGTAGTTTACAACATACCCTGAAGCACTTGGGAAGGACACTATGTCCATGGACACTGCGTTATATTACGCTGCACTGGGGAAAAAATTGGGACTGGAACTTGCTCTTCTGGTCATCCAGAAATACGCGCTTCCAAGACACTGGATCTTGTTCATTTGTTAGAATTCAGAATTGGCTGGTGAGGAAAAGTTCATTGTCCAAACTAATATTAATGAAAACGTGCCATGTTCTCTTTTACACAATTCTCTCAGGCTGTGCTGCAAATTAAATCCTTCCGTTAATCAGGATTCAGCCAACGACCAGTTTTTAGCATTTCACAGTTTATCCAGATGCTGGTTGTGCAGATGTGAAGTAAAACAGAAATATACAAGACAGGCATCTTAAGCCCCAATCCTGTAAAGACTCTTGTTATTAACTTTAAGCAGATGAGTAGACCCACAAAGTTCAGAACAGATCCACTGAGTTTAATGGGATCGTCACAGTTCAGGGCAACTGCACTTGTATTCCCAATCCATGGTCCAGCAAGGGCACCCACTCGAGGCTCCTGGCTCCTCAGCCATCATCTCTGTTGGGCAGAAACCTGCCTCTCTCTCCTGACCTGGGTTTTTCCAGGCTGCACACTTCCTGCATACATTGTGAGTTCCCCAGCAAGCCACGCTGCTTAGGCAGGCAGTTTGCACTTTGCTTTCTTCTCAGAGTCTGTGAACAGTTCTAATTGCCCACGGTTAGTTATAAGGTTCACTCAGCCCTTTCTAAGCAAGCACATTTATTCTTAAGGTGAAAGCATTACAAAGAAAACATATTAAAACAATAGACGAACCCCCAAACCTGCTAATAAGCTTCCTAGACATCACCATGGAAGGCCTTCCAACCCTTTCTAGGAAGGATTAGGGCCCCCCATGTACAAAAGGTCCTGTCCTGAGTCAGTTTAAACTCAGGCTGTTTATCCAAAAGTCCTTTCTTTGTCTGTTGGTCTCTGGAGAATCCAGTTTGGACCAGTCCATGCAGCCTCTCCAGGTGATGGGACCTCTCTGGAGGTGTTACAACCTGAGTGAATTTGGCTAATCAATAACCCTCCCCCCCCCCCACACACACAAACTGTTCTTAGTTCCTGGAGGGCTCTGGTCACCCTTCCCCATGAAATTACATACTGTCTCCGGGCATCCATGGTACATATACTCAATACAGTGAGATCTCCCAAAGAAATTTCAGGCAACTGCCATAGTTGTCAGGATTACTTGCATGCTTAAAATTAAGCACATGCATAAACCTTTGCAGGAGCGCTGCCTAAGACTGAGGCTGTAGTGTTGTCAGCCATCCATTCCATTAATCCTACGTTCAGGCCAGGATTTAGGTAAATCCTGTCCAATGTCTATAAGCAGCCCTGGCTGTATGAGTCAGAGAGAACCACAGAGTCTGTCTGCATCTAGCTGCTCCAGGAGCAAACTCCCGGTGTGCTTTACAACTGGGCTCTCGCTTCTGTGCTGGGAGAGGCCTTGCAAAGTCCATCTCTCCAGCCCTAAGATTTTTTAAAACAAATCGCCTCCATGTTAAACTGGGAGCAGTCAGAGAGCTCCAGCCTCCAGTTAGGTTTTGTAAATATATATTTACCAAGGAGCATCCGGAGAAATATTTGTCTGTACATGGGGGGGGGGGGGAGGGAATCAACTTCCCTGCAGCCTTTGCAACCCCAACATCGCAGCGGAGTGTCTGAAAACCAGAAGGGGAAACTGACTAGGGGCCCAGGCAAGGAAAGTCCTGGTGTCTGAACAGTGTCCCTTGACTTTCTGCCGGCGCTGCCCGGGTCCCTGGGAGGTGGCTGTGACCGAGAACCAGCAGATGGAGCTCAGCTTGCGAGACACCTTTTCCTTCCCTCGCCGGCGCTGTGACCCCGCAAGCCGCTCCGCCAGTTCACTTCCTGCGGAGGTCGGGCTCTGAATTTGAAAATGCAGGAGTCGTTGGTGCTGCTGTTGTACCTGGGGAGGAAAAGGAGGGCCGGCCCCCAGCGGGAGATGGCTGCCCGCGGGGACGAGGCGCAGCGGGCAGCCTGGCTCCGGCAGTACTACACGCAGCGGCAGAAGCGGCTGATGACGGTAACCCCTGGGCGGGGAGACGGGGACGGGGTGCCAGGGCGCAGGGCCCCGCGAGCCCCGCGGCAACAGGGAGAATCCAGGTGTGCAGCATCTGGCGCGGGGGCGGGGCTCGCACTGAGTGCTGGACCGATCACGCGGACAGGCCCTGGGGGGTGGAAGGAGAACAGGCCAGGGGCTGTACAAGGATTGGGGGTGGAAGTGGGGGGGACAGGGAGTACGAAGCTATGAGCAAGGAAATGGGGGTGCAGAGCGGGCACAGGGAGAATGGAGGAAAAGCTGGGAGGGGGGTAATAATTTAACACTTTTAAACCCCCACCCCCCAGCTAGAAATCTTGGGCTGAGGGGACCAACCACTGCAGGCAAAATAAAGCCCCTTCATTGTTATAGTCTACTTTAATTCTCCTTTCATTCCCATCCATAAACTCAGCCAGGACCATGGGGCTGAATAAAGACTTTCCACCACTTTCTGTCTCCTTTGTTACTAATCACCAACCCAGCTGTCAGTTGGAAAGGCCAGGTCTAATGCTGGTTACCGTCAACGAGCAAACCAACCCAACCGGAATACTAATCACCAATTAGGGTGACCAGATGTCCCAATTTTATAGGGACAGTCCCAATTGTTGGGTCTTTTTCTTATATAGGCTCCTATTACCCCCCACCCCCTGTCCCGATTTTTCACACTTGCTGTCTGGTCACCCTATCACCAATGATTGTTTTGTTTTATCATCCAATTTAAAAATAATGATTAAACCTGAATGTTAAAACAAAAATAAAAGGTACAAAATGTGGGAAAAGTTGAAATTGGAACATTGCAATTGACCTGAAATGGGCTTTTGCCCCAGAAAGTTCGTTTTGTGGGCCACTTTGACTTTTCAGCCCCATTCGGAATGAAATGTTTTCGAATTTTCTGCAGAAGAGAAATTCCAAGCATCACCCAGCTGTAGCGATGACATTCTGCCAGCCTAGAGCTCTCAGTTGGCTGCAGTGTTGTGTTTCACACCCTGGCCTCACCTGTGTGTATTATTGCTGGGTGCTGGTAAACAGCGGCTGTGGTGCATCCCAAAGGGGGCAGGGCTAAGGGAGTTACTCAAGAGGCAGGGTATGTATAATATCTCATAGGCTTTCGACACTCATTGGGTGAAAGTTGGTATAGGCTGTAATAATACCCCACTCTTATCTAGCACGTCTCATCCATAGATCTCAAAGTGCTTTACAAAGGAGATCAGTATCGTTGTCCTCATTTTACAGGTGGGGAAACTGAGGCACCAATCGGCAAAATGACTTGCTCAAAGTCACCCAGTAGGTCAGTGGTAGACCCAGGAAGAGAACCCAGGTGTCCTGAGTCCCAGACCAATGCACCACCCACTAGGCCAGACACTCATTCCATTCAGTATTAGCTTGGCATTCATGTAGACAGCCTGATGCAGGGGGCTGGGCTGAGTGCCAGGGATGACTGAGCTCCAAAGCCAACTCAGTGACTAACTGGGTGGCCTTGGGCAAGTCACTTAACACCTTTTTGTGTCAGTTTTCCCCCTGTGTCCAATAGGGATGATGCTGACCCAATCCCCAGTGGATTGTCTGTGCAGCACGTTGGTTGTTTGGAGATGCAGGGCTGTAGAAGGGCTGAGCAGTGTCCTACATGTCTAGAAGGAAATGCTGCCTCATGCCTGGAATTGTCCAATTTCAGCTCCTGATTGCCCGTCGAAGGAGATCCAGCTGTTACTTCCACCCACGCGCATGGCCCAGCTTCCGGAACGCTGACTGGTGGGAACGGGTGGTCCTGAAAGACTTCCAGCCTCGGGACTGGCTGGAGAAATTCCGAATGTCCAAGGAGACCTTCTTCTATGTCTGCAACCAGCTGCGACCCAAGCTGTCCCACCCGAGTACCCAGCCCCAACCAGTGCTGCCTCTGGAGCAGCGGGTAGCCGTGGCCATTTGGCACCTGGCCACCAATGTCGAGTACCAGACAATCAGCCCCCTCTTTGGGGTGGGTCCCTCCACTGTGCAGAACTGCGTCAAGGAGGTCAGCTATGCCATTGTGCTGCTGCTGAAGCCGCTCTACCTCCGGCTGCCCAGCGAGCAGGAGCTGGAGAACATGGTGCGGATCTTCAGTGCCCGCTGGGGATTCCCACACTGCATCGGTGCCTTGGACAGCCTCCATGTCCCCATCCACGCCCCTGCGCACCTCGGTGCCGACTACTGCAACAGCCAGGGCTGGCATTCTGTCCTCACGCAGGCGACGGTGGATGGGCTGGGTCAGTTCTGGGACATCTGCGCCGGCTTCCCTGGCAGCATGGAGAACAGCACCGTCCTGGAAAACTCCAGCTTGTGGGTGTTAGCCAGGGAGGGCCGCCTCTTCCCAACCCCTCTGAAACATTTCATGGGGAGGGCACAAAAGTACGTCCTGTTGGGAGATGCCTCTTACCCACTGCGGGAATGGATCCTCAAGCCTTACCCAGAAGACGGCACCCTCACCCCACAGCAGCTCCAGTTCAACTATCGCCTGAAGCGAGCCCACAGTGTGATCGAGAATGCCTTCCTGCGCCTCAAGGCCCGGTGGCAGTTCCTCCTGAAATGTGACGACTGCAGCCTGGACCTGCTGCCCACGGTCATACTCGCCTGTTGCACCCTGCACAACGTGTGTGAGGCCCACGACAGCCCCTTCAATGAGGAGTGGCTAGAGGTGATAGAGCCCGCCGAGTTCTCAAAGCCCTGCCAGCCTGCGCCCATGTCCATGGACGACAGCAGCGCCGAGGAAGTGCGAGAGCTGATGTGCGAATACTTTGAAAGCTACGGAGAAGGCTGATTGCTACAAAGCAATGCCGCATGCTCTCCAGCTCTCAAACTTTCAGTAACTCTAGTACACCTAACGTTGCCCCAGCAATCAAAGGCTACTGAATGGGGACTGCGCGCTGTCACATACTGCAAAGCCTTTTCCGTGGAATAAAGGTGGCTTGGGGGATTGGTAAGGAGTCAGCCCTTCCCAGCTCAGCCACCAGTTCCAGTCCAGAGGAGGTCGGCCGTGTTTGCTAAAGCAGTCTTTGCCTTGGTGCTGTCAGGCAATGGGATGGATTTCATGCCTTTGTAATCTGCCAGGGTTTAGACGATCTTGTGTCGTGGTCTGTGAGATGTAAATAAAACAGGGGGTCTAGGTTTGGACAAAAAGAGCAGTGCATATTTTTTTTTGCTTTCTTTACGAATAAATCAGGCTCAGTAGCTCAGGGCGATTGGAAAAGGGACACAGAGCCTGTCATGTCTTGGTCCCTGGTATGAAACCAGCCTAGGCTGCAGGCTGGCAGTCAGTGAAAGTTACCAGCTGATGAGTTCTCAGTGGCCTGTGGGAAAAGGTGGGTGGATCTCGGTTCAGCAGACAGGTGTCCTTCACCCAGTGCTACTGTTACTGTTGGCACAGTGTCACCTGCATGGGCAGCCTCAGCAGCAAGTGCCTAGATGCCGCGGTGATGGGTGCTCCAGAAACACATCAGCAGAAAGGCCAAAGGATGGAATAGGTACTATTGTCTGAATCACAATAGCATCTGGAGGCCCCAGCCGAGGACAGGGCCCCATTGTGCTGGGTCCTGACCCAGAGATGCCAGTCCCTGCCCTGATGAGCTCACTGTCTGAACAGGCAAGATGCACACAAGGTGGGAGGGGAAGTGACTTGCCTGAGGCCAGCAGCAGAGCTGGGATAAGAATCCAGGAGTCAAGGATTCCCAGCTAGCACCCTACCCACTAGACTGCACTACCTCCACGTCCCTCAGGTGGCTGAATTACCTTTCCAGCCTGAGGCTGAAGTTCCTGGCTAATGCTGAGGAACGTCGGCAGAGCTGTGCTGGGGCTGCCTGTGCACGTGGTGTCTCGGTGAGTCACTGCAGCTCTCCAGGCTGGCCCCTTTCAGGAGCACAGAAGCTGAGACAGTGGTGGGTGGGAAAAGCCCTGGGGTCACTTTAGGACAGGGGTCGGCAACCTTTCAGAAGTGGGGTGCCGAGTCTTCATTTATTCACTCTGATTTAAGGTTTCGTGTGCCAGTCTTACATTTTAACATTTTTAGAAGGTCACTTTCTCTAAGTCTATAATATATAACTAAACTATTAATGTATGTAAAGTAAGTAAGGTTTTTGAAATGTTTAAGAAGCTTCATTGAAAATTAAATTAAAATGCAGAGCCCCCCGGACCGATGGCCAGGCCCCGGGCAGTGTGAGTGCCACTGAAAATCAGCTTGTGTGCCGCCTTCGGCACATGTGCCATAGGTTGCCTACCCCTGCTTTAGGAGGTCTGTGGTTTTCCACAAAGGTATCTGCCTGGCATGGCGGAACCTCTTCAGAGATGCTGCCTCCAGGTGAAATCACGGGATGAAGGAAATAACAACAAACTCAACATCATGGTCCAGATTCAATTGGGGCTCCAGCGAGTACGACTTCATTGCCTTCAGCAGAGTGACTCCCATTTGCATCAGGGCTGAGTTTAGCCGCACACATCTGTGGTTCTGCTTCTGCTGACACCCCTCTCCCGTTTTGCCAGTCACGCTGCCTAGCATCATCAATCCTGGGGACACACTAATAGAATCAGTCGTTTCCATACCCCCACGCTTGTGCCTGCTGTCCAGAACTCACTTGTTTTGTGGAAATCTAGTGTTTTACTCCTACAATCTGAAAACAAGAATTTGGGACTTCAGCAATATCTGTGTCTGAAGGGCTGTGGATGTAGCAGGGGCGTTAACCTGAGAATCCAGACAAATTCCAATGTAGGTAACTGCATTCTGCCTATCTGTGGCCCTGAGCCTGCAAAGAGTTACACATATGCTTAACCCTACCTGCATGGACAGACCCACTGAGTCCAAGCCTTAAGCCTCCAGGATTGGAGTCTTTTTGATTTTTAAAACATGGCCGGATATTTGTCTGCTCATAGACTTGAAGGTCAGAAAGAACCATCAAGATCATCTAGTCCCATGTCCTGCATATTTCAGGCCACAGAACCTCACCCGCCCACTCCTGAAATAGGCCCCTTAGCTCTGGCTGAGTTACTGAAGTGCACGCTATTAGAATGGCCGGTGATGTGGTTAGCAAAGTCTGGCCCTTGCGTTACATAGGGTGGAAGAATCCAGGAGTCTGACCAGTTCTTTATGAACCTGGGAACTTACTGCCTTTGAGTCAAAGAAGCCTTAACTGGATGCCTCTCTGGAAGAGATGCTTTAGCTTAATACATGAGTGGGTTCAATGTAGGGGTAACAGGGAATTCCACGGCCTGTGACGTACAGGAGTTCAGATGAGCTAATGGTCCCTTTGGCCTTTAACTCTACGAATCTCTGGAATGTTCAGTTTGGGGAAAACTCCAGCACTCCCTCCGCACTTTACTTCCTTCCCCAGGCTCCTGGCTGTCGCACAGCAGCGATGGTTCAGCGGCTTTCACCCTCCACTTAAACCTGCCAGCCCTGCGTCAGCAGGTGAGAGGACTTCTCTTGGGGCTGGGTGAATGGCTCCCTAAAGTCTCCTCAAAGCCCTGCCTGTCCCACGAGTGCTTTAGATACACTGTGTGACGGGTTCCCCCTGGGGTGCCATCTGGAATTGGGGTACCACTGAGCCCCCTGACCCACCAGCCTGGGCTCCCTCTCACACTGTACTGCTGTGACAAGCTGCAAAGCCCTCCAGCCTGCATTTTCACCAGCATTCACACAGGTAGGGACACACCCAGCTGCAGTTACACACAGGCTCTCTAACCACCAGCTCTGCACCCCAGAGCAGTACTGTCCTGCCCTGGTCAAACCTGGCTAGTATATGGCTTTGATACCCGATCTGCCTCTCCCTCAATGTGAAGAGAACAATGCACACTTGTGGTAACCAAGCTGAGATTTCCCCAAGCACTCCAGTCAAAGCTCACTGGTTTAGATTAAAACAAAAACAAGTTTAACTGCAAAAGATAGGTTTTAAGTGATTATACGGGATAGCAAACAGAGCAAAGCAGATTACCTAGCAGATAAACAAAAAATGCAAACTACGCTTAATATACTAGATAGATTGGACATGAATTAGTAGATTCTCACCCTAAGAGATGATACAAACAGGTTGCTGGATCTTAAGGGGCAAGCTGCACTTACTTTACAGCTTGCAATCCCCAGGTAGCTCATTCACAGGCTAGAAATCCCTTTAGCCTCGGTCCAGCACTTCACCCAGTTCAGTCGTTGTTCCTCAGGTGTTTCCCAGAGTCTTCTTGTGTGAGGAGTGAAGAACCATAGATGACGTCACTTCCTGCCTTATATAGCTTTAGCGTAGGGCGGGAACCCTTTGTTCCAAAGCTTGGTGAAAAAATACTGACATCCCAAGATGGAGTCCAGCATTATGTGGTCTGGTCACATGTCCTTGTAGAGACATAGCAGCCGTCACTCAGGCTGTCTGTAACATTCTCAGGAAGACTCACCAGGTGGGAGATAAGCTTGTGAAGGGCAACAAGAAGGGTTTCTACAGGTATGTTAGCAACAAGAAGGTGGTCAGGGAATGCGTGGGCCCCTTACTGAATGGGGGAGGCAACCTAGTGACAGATGATGTGGAAAAAGCTGAAGTACTCAATGCTTTTTTTGCCTCAGTCTAAAGAGACAAGGTCAGCTCCTAGACTGCTGCACTGGGCAACACAGTATGGGGAGGAAGTGAGCAGCCCTCAGTGGTGAAAGAACAAGTTAAGGACCGTTTAGAAAAGCTGGATATGTACAAGTCCATGGGGCCGGATGCAATGCTCCGAGGGTGCTGAGGGAGTTGGCTGATGTGATTTCAGAGCCGTTGGCCATTATCTTTGAAAACTCATGGCAATCGGGGGAGGTCCCAGACGACTGAAAAAAGGCAAATATAGTGCCCATCTTTAAGAAAGGGAAGAAGGAGAAGCCAGGGAACTACAGACCAGTCAGCCTCACCTCTGTCCCCAGAAAAACCATGCAGCAGGTCCTAAAGAAATCCATTTTGAAGCACTTGGAGGAGGGGAAAAACAACAAGGAATCCTTGTGACACCTTAGACACTAACAAATTTATTTGGGCATAAGCTTTCGTGGGCTAGAACCCACTTCATCAGATGAATGAAGTGAAAAATACAGGAGCAGGTATAAATACATGAAAAGATGGGGGTTGCTTTACCAAGTGTGGGTTCAGTCTAATGATATAAATCAATTAACATCAGGATACCAAGGGAGGAAAAACAACTTTTGAAGTGGTAATGAGAGTGGCCCATTACAGACAGTTGACAAGAAGGTGTGAATAACAGTAGGGAGAAATTAAGTTTAGGTTTTGTAATGACCCAACCACTCCCAGTCTTTATTCAGGCCTAATCTAATGGTATCCAGTTTGCAAATTAATTCCAGTTCTGCAGCTTCATGTTGGAGTCTGTTTTTGAAGTTTTATTGTTGAAGAATTGCCACTTTGAGGTCTGTTATTGAGTGACCAGAGAGACTGAAGTGTTCTACTGGTTTTTGAATGTTATGATTCCTGATGTCAGATTTGTGTCCATTCTTTTGCGTAGAGACTGTCCGGTTTGGCCAATGTACAAGGCAGAGGAGCATTGCTGGCACGTGATGGCATAGATCACATTGGTAGATGTGCAGGTGAACGAGCCCCGGATGGTGTGGCTGATGTGGTTAGGTCCTATGATGGTGTCCCTTGAATAGATATGTAGACAGAGATGGCACCGGGGTTTGTAGCAGGGTTTGGTTCTTGGGTTGATGTTTTTGTTGTGTGGTGTGTAGTTGCTCGTGAGTATTTGCTTCAGGTTGGGGGGGCCGTCTGTAGGTGAGGACTGGCCTGTCCCCCAAGATCTGTGAGAGTGAGGGATCGTCCTTCAGGATAGGTTGTAGATCCCTGATGATGCGCTGGAGAGGTTTTAGTTGGGGGCTCTAGGTGACAGCTAGTGGCATTCTGTTACTTTCTTTGTTGGGCCTGTCTTGTAGTAGGTGACTTCTGAGTACTCTTCTGGCTCTGTCAATCTGTTTCTTCACTTCACCACGTGGGTATTGCAGATTTAAGAACGCACGATAGAGATTCTGTAGGTGTTTGTCTCTGTCTGAGGGATTGGAGCAAATGCG